CGTCTGTTCTCTTCTCAAGCAGAACAAGGTCCCTATGGAGAATACCAGATAACAAAACCGACTGTTTAATGCTTTTATACACAATATAAATTACACTGACTGGCATGGCAACAGCCACAGAACCAGTCCTGTTCCCCCCTCCCCCCTTTCCCCGGGCTCTGGCAGAGGAAGGCTCTGACAGGCAGGAACAGGCAGGTGCCACTCCGCGCAGTGCCTGGGGGCACAGCACCGCCGCAGCTGGGGCAGGCACCCAAGCCCGGCAGAACCGCTGGTCGTGGCTTCGCCCTGCCCAGGAAGGTTAGGGCTGCAGGAGACCCTGGCACGGCTGCTGGCCCTGCTTAAGGCTGCCCTGAGCCCCAGCAGAGTTTGCTGCCCATCTCTCCCCCAGGGAGGGTAGGGGCCACAGACAGCAAGGGGCTGGGATGCCCCGTGACCCCCAGGGCCCGGCACGGGGCCAAGCCCCTGCAGCCGGGCTAAGTGCTGTCTCAGGGCAGGGCCGTGCCCACGGCAGGAGGTGCCAGGAGGGCTTTGGCATTGCGCGGGTTGACCCAGCTCTCAGCCGTGTGGCCGTGGATCTTCTGGTGACGCTTGTAGTTGTCCCAGTGGCCAGTGGTGTAGGAGCAGTCCCGGCACTGGAAGGGCTTCTCACCCGTGTGCCGCAGCATGTGTCGCTTCAGGTTCATGCTCTGGTTGCAGCTGTAGCTGCAGAGGCTGCACTGGAAGGGCTTGTCACCCGAGTGGATGCGCCCGTGGCGCTTGAGGTTGGCCAGGTTGCCGCAGGCGTAGTCGCAGAGCTGGCACTTGTAGGGCTTCTCGCCCGTGTGCACGCGCTGGTGCCGCTTCAGGTTGTCGAGGTGGGCGGAGGCATAGGGGCAGAGCGGGCAGGCAAACGGCTTCTCCCCGCTGTGCGTCTTCATGTGCCGTGCCAAGTGGTTGGGGTAGTGAGTGACAAAGGGGCAGAGGCTGCAGGCAAAGCCTTTGTCCCCAGTGCCTTTGCGGGGGCTGGAGCCCGGTTCAGTGCCCAGCACCGCCAGGCTGCAGCGGCCACAGACCTGCTCGGCCAGGCCCTCGTCCTGCGCGAACCCATCATCCAGCACCAGCCCGCACATGCGGCACGTGAAGGGAAAGAGCAGCTCGGGCAGCGCGGCCGACTCCTCGCCCCGCAGCCGAGCGCAGCCGGGCAGGAAGGGGCCGGTGCCGCTACCCATGTGCAGGTTCAGCTCCGGCAGCAGCGGCTCTGCAGGACAAACACAAGCAGGGCTGTCAGCAGGCGGCACAGTGCTGGCAGGGCTCAACTCTGCAAGGAGCCCCAGCTCCAAGGGTGACAATGCCCTGGCATGGGGCTGGCAGCACACGGCCCCTGGCCCAGCACAGGCTCTGTGCGCCTGAGGGCAAGCGCTGGGACTGGCGTAACAGAAGAGGGCAGGGCTGTGCTCCCTGCCCATCCCCAGCAGTTCCCCCCCCAACCCCGCTTTACCTGGCTCCTTGTCCTGCTGGTGTGGCCCTTCACCTTCAGGCAGGCGGTGGCTGAGCATGTGCCGCTTCAGATTGCGGCTCTGGTTGCAGCGGTAGTCGCAGGCGGCACACTGGAAGGGCTTGTCCTGGCTGTGGACCCGCTCGTGGCGTTTGAGGTTGCCCAGGCTGCTGCAGGCAAAGCTGCAGCCCGTGCAGCGGTAGGGCTTCTCCCCCGTGTGTGTGCGCAGGTGGCGGGTCAGGTTCACCAGCTGGGCCGAGGCGTAGGCACACTGCGGGCATGCGAACGGCTTCTCCCCGTTGTGTGTCTTCATGTGGCGCTTGAGGTGGCTGGAGTAGTGGGAGGCGAAGGGGCAGAGCTGGCAGGAGTAGACAATGCGCTGGTTGCGGCTGCCCTCGGTGCCGGCACACTGCATGCAGCTCTGCCCCAGGCTGGCGGCCAGCTGCAGCCCGCACTGGCGGCAGGGCAGCGCCGCGGGGCCGGGCTCGCCGCCCTCCTCAGGGTCGCTCTCCACGCTCAGCTGCTGGTACCCAGAGGAGCAGTCGTCGTCGCTCAGCGTGTACGCTGGGATGGCGATCTTCCCCACCAGGGCCTCTGCTGAGAAGAGGGCGGGGATGGGATAGGATCAGGGGCCCGGCTGGCCCAGGCACAGCCCTGTTCTGGTGCCTCTGGTCTCAAGAGGGCTGCTTCTAGGAAGGGGACTGCAGCCAGGCGGGTGCCAGGTGGCTCTGCCCACCCTAGCGGCACCCAGGAGTCCATAAGAGCCCCAACGCTCAGGGCAAGTAGCCCCATAACCACAGCCTGCCCCAACGTCCTGCCCCGGGGCCTGTCCCAGTCCCTCAGAAAAGCCTGCCACCACCACACCATGGCTGGCCAGGTGGCTGGTGAAAAGGTGTCAGGCACAGCACCACCCAGGAAGGATGGGCTGGCACCCAAAGCACTCGCTCAGGGCTACCCCTCAGCTGTGGTGCTGCCAAAGCCCCAGGGGGTCGCTGGTTCCACCTCCATGGCCAGCACCAGGCAGCAAAATGGATCTCCCCTGGCCCCGCTCAGTGCTGCTGCCCCACAGAGGTGGGAGGATGAATCAGTAGTGGGCTCTCAGAGAGCATTTCCACTTACCAGCTGGACAGGGATGTGTCCTCCCGCAGCTCACCGGGTAACCCCTGTGCCCCAGCAAGGGATGACAGCAGTGGAGCCACTGCCCTACAGCCCTCCAGATCTGGCCTGGACACACGGGGCCCTCAGATGTGTCCACAGGCTGGTACCCAAGGCAGAAGGGCAGGGACACGTGGCAAAGCCTTGCCACCATCAACCTCAAGCCATCTCCAGCTGTCCCTGTGCTGTGCCTGACCCACGGTCACTGTGAGACACTGCAGGACCCAGCAGCTGCCCTCTGCCATCCACATCGCTGCCACCCACCCAGCAGGGTCCAACTCCCAGGGCCCCTAGGCAAGGGGTGAGGCTGCTCCCAGGCCACAGGAAAGGGTGCGCTCCAGGCTCCCCAGTATTTCCCAGTCCCCGTTTCACAAGCACTGGAAGAGCTGACACCAGACCAGAGCGTTCTGCAGCTGCATTACTGTCAGGGGAATACCACGGGCCTGCCCGCAGCTCCGTGCTGAGGGGCTCCCTGCAAGCTCAGCGCGTGCAGCCCTGCAGAGCCTCGCTGTCCCTGGAGTACCGTTGCCCCGAGCGAGGCTGTGCCAGCACTGCCCTGCTGCCACAACGTACCCACAGGGCTGAGGACTGGCCAACGAAGGCTCTTCTGGCACCCCCAGCAGGCCTCTGGCTGCCTGGCACCGCTCCCCAGCTGGGGCTGGAGCAGGAGGGGGGGCTTTCCTGGTTGCAAAACTGCCGCAGCTTTACAAGCAGCAGCACAGGCAGTGTCCGGCACCGCTGAGACGGCTTTGTCCCAGCATGGGGCCGTGAGCATGCGCTGCAGGGAGGTGCAGCCCTCGGAGCAGAACCCATCTGCCAGGCAGCTGGGACCAAGCCTCAGCACGAGAGCCGGAGCTGCCGGTGCGGCCCAGCACAGCTCCCAGCGCGCAGAGCACAGCGTCCCACACCCAGAGCAGCAGCCCTCAGGGGAACAGGCAGGCAGGCAGGGGTAGAGGAAGCAGGGCGGTTAATGCTGCTCTCCACTGAGAGCGTCCCCACGATATTCACTGCTCATCATCCGAGGGCAGCGAGCTGCTCTCACTGCTCCCTGTGAGGCACCACAGCGGGGCTGGATCAGTGTCACCTCCGGATCAGTGTCACCTCCTCTGCCCAGCTGCATCGCAGCCGACACCGACCTGGGTGCAGAGGCTGGGCTGATGCTGAGCAGCTGCAAAGGAGACGGGGGCAAAGCAGGGGGCAGCGGCAGGGATGTGGCGCTGCGGGGAGCAGAAGCTGGAAGGAAGGACAGCCCGCGCCCCGTGCCCCTACTCCCCGCCCCAAGCAGCTGTGGGGGGCGGTGGCGTCACCCCACGGCCACGTCTCGGGCAGGACCCAGGCAGGCAGCAGCCCCCGGCCTGGGGATGCCACAGCCCCAGGAGCAGGAGCCCAGGGGAGCAGCCAGGGGGAGCCTCCCCGCTTCACGCGGCAGCCGCGGGCCCCACGGGTGCCCCCGAGATGAACCGGGGCTCCCGGGGCTGGGCGGCGGTGCCCCTGGGGACCCCCGGCGGCGGCGGCAGAGCACGGCCGCGGCGGGGCAGCCGCCCGGGCCCGGCGTCCCCGCGGCCCTCCAGCCGGCCGTGGGGCGGGACCGGGAGCGGTAACGGGACGGAGCGTCCCCGCGGGGCCCAGCCCCCCCGCGCCGCGGGCGGCGCTCCCGGAGGTTGCCGGAGGTTCCCGGGGGGCCGCGGGGAGCGGAGCGGCGGCCGCTCGGGAGCGCGCCCGGGGAGCGCCGCCGCCGGATGGCGGCCGCCGTCGGGGGGACGCCGTCGGGGGCCGTTGCCACGAGCGACGGCGGCCGGGGCGCGGCGCCGCCCGCCCCGCCCCGCCCCGGGGACGCCGCCGGGAGCGCCGCGGCGGGGGAGCACCGGGGCCGTCGGGGGAGGGGCGGCGGCGGCGGCCGTCAGCGGGCCCGGTCGGGGCGGCGGCACGCACCTGGCGGTCCCTTCTCGCAGGCCAGGCCGCGGCCCAGCAGCAGGTCGCCGGGCAGCACCAGCGCCGCTCCCGCCGTCTCCTCGGGGCCGTCCTCGGCGTCCGCTGCAACACACCGAGCGCCGCGGGTCACCGCCGGGGCCCGGCCGCCGCCGCCCCCCGGCCCCGCCGCGCACTCACCCTTCACCGGCTGCGGGTGGCTCTGCTTGCGCCGGGGCATCGTGGCCGGCCCCGGCCCCGGCCCGGCCCCGCCGCCCGCCCGCCCGCGGCCCGCCAGCCGCCCCCGCCAGCCCGGGGCGGCCGCCGCCGCCCCGCCTCGACCGGCCACTTCCGCTTCCGGCCGCCGCGGGGCAGGGCCGGCACCGGAAGCGGCGCGGTGCCCCGGAAGCGCGCGCGGCGCCCCCGGAAGCGTGCGCCCGGTCCGCCGCCCCCCCCGGTCCGCCGCTGCTCCGCCGCCCCGCTGCCGGCACCGGGAGGGAGCGGGGGGAGGAGGAGGAGGAGGAGGAGGGGGGCGGGGGCCGCGCCTCCGGCATGCGGCGGGGGGGGCCCGGCCGGGCGCGGGCCGGGCGGCGGCGGAGGCAGGTGGGGGCCGGGGAGCGGGGGGCGCCCCGGGGGCAGCGCTGGGGCGGGGCGGGGCGGCGGGGCCGGGGGGTCCAGGGCCGGAGGGGGGCTGGGGGGGGGCTCCGGGGGGGCTCCCGCTGCTCCCGGCGCCGGGACCCGCCCGGCCGGGACAGGGCCGGGGCCGGAGCTCCTCGGGGCCGTGGCTCCGCCGTGGCCGTTGCCCTCCCGGTGTCGCCCCCAGGGCCGCAGCAGAGCCCCCTCCCTGCCGTGCCCCGCGGGGCCGCGGGTGGTGCTGCCTCTGGCAGCTGTTCCTGCCGGCACAGCCCCTGGTTCGCAGCCGCCCTTCCCAGCAAAGCTCCCGTTTGTGTGGCTCAGATCCCGCTGGAGGTCTGCAGGGACGTGGCCACTGAGCCATGGGGGGAGCCTGCTGGGTCCTGCTGCGACAGCTCCTGGTGCAGCCCTGTGGCACCTCTGCCCCCAGCAGGGCTCAGCCCCTCTCACGCTGTCACATTTCTCTCCCTGTGGTTGGGGACGGTGTCCCTGCTCTGCACTTGGACGAACCTGTACTTATGTGCTCGTCCTTCTGACGTCCAGGTCTCTGCAGCAGGCCCTGTCCCCAGCTGCAGGACTTGTTCTGCTTTCTCCATGGTTCAGTTAACGGAGCTGTGACACATCTGAGTGACCCTTGCTGTGCAAGCTGCTGCTGCGGCAGTAGCTACAGCAGTAGCAGACTGTACTCAGCAGTAGCTGAGACTGTTCACGGACAACTTTTATTTATCTGCAGGTCCTGGAGGGAGTTGCGTGTGTTGGACTTTGTGGCTGTCTTGGGGAAGCTGTGGCCGTGCCATGTCAGCGATGAGTCCCCACTGACAGGTACCTCGGGGCCAGAGGCAGGGCTGGTTGGAGCCCTGGTGGTGCTTTGTTTGTCTTGTGCAGCCCCAGCGGTTCAGTCAGGATGTTCAGGTGCTGCTGTGGGAATGACAGGCACGGGCTGTCCCCTCGTGGTCAGGCCGCGGTGGCTGCAGCTGCTGCTGCTCTGGTGCCAGCTCTGGCTGCTCTGCTGGGCAAAGCCCGTGGTGGTGGCAGCAGTCATCCAAGATGCTGCCCTCCCTGCTGGCTGAGCACATCCCTCCCTGCTCTCTTCCTGCAGTACCTCTCACACTAACAACTTCAAAAATCAAACTGAAGTCAAGTTTCCATTGGGTCTCCAGTTAACAGCTGCCTAGAAAACACTTTGTTACCTGGGGTGCCGCAGTGCGGTGCCATGCGTGTCCCCAGCAGAGCAGATGTAAACAGACTCCTTGCTCTTACCTGGGTCATCACTGACACCTGCCTCTCCCAGTGGCAGTGTTTTTGCTGATCTGTCTGTGCTGAAAGGGAAAAAAAGAAGAAAAAAAAAGGCAGAAGCTGCTAGACGAGGAAGGATTCAGCAGTGCCATGGGGTTATAAAATACAGGGTGCAAATTCCTGGAGTGTAGAGAGCAAGGAGAGCAGTGGACTGACTGGTCCTGGTGTGTAGAGGGGTTATGCTGTGGCTCCAGACTAATGTGAACTCTAAGTAAGGGAAAGCTGTGACAGATTTACCTCATTTCTCCTGTCATCATCTCCTTGCTGGTCACTGAATGAATTGGCTCTTGGGTCCCTTGGCTCAGCTGCCCATTTTACAAACAGAACGGGAGGCTGAGGTCTGCGCTGCAGGGCTTGTGCCAGGGCAATGCCCTGGGCCCACGAGGGACAAGTGGCTGGTTGTGGGCCAGCCTGGAGCCTGACAAATGCTGCGGATCCCTCAGCTTTTCCTGGAGCTGTTGCTATTTTTTTTTTTTACATGGTGCAGCCGTGTGGACAGCCCTAGGGCTGGCACAGTGGGGAGGGTGAAGCCACAGCTTGGTTTCTGTGCCTGAAGGGTATCGGGATCTGATGGGTGCTGAGGGTTCATTCCTGCATCCAGGGCCCCTGTGTTCACTCTCACGTGCGGTTCCTTCGCAGGCTGACGTGCACGGGCTGCAGCTGGAGATGGTTAGGCCGTTGCCTGTGGGGATGCTGGCTCCAAGGCCCGGGTAGGACACAGCTTGGCCTGCCATGGGGGCTGTGCCTGGGGTTGCCACCGCCCCGCTAGCCTGACGGCAGCCTGACGTGCCACCATGGAGCGATCTGCGCGGGTGCCCCAGCCCCCCCACGTCCTGGACTTCTGTGGGCAGAAGCCGGAGGTCAGCGGAGAGATGTCACCAGAGCCAGAGCAAGAATCAGGGGACCCTGAGGAGACGCACGTCGCGCTGCCCCTGGGCGAGGATGGGGAGCTGGTGGAGTGCCCCCTCTGCCTGCTGCCCCAGCCTCCTGAGGCCTTTCCCACCCTCGCCTCCTGTGCCCACCGCTCGTGCCAGGCGTGCCTGGAGCAGTACCTGCGCATCGCTGTCAGTGAGAGCCGCGTGCAGGTGGCCTGCCCGCATTGCCCCGCCGCGCTGCAGCCTGCCGATGTCCACCGCCTGCTGGCCGAGCCCGCCCTGCGTGACAAGTACGAGGAGTTCCTCCTGCGGCGGCTGCTGGTGGCCGACCCTGGCACCCGCTGGTGTCCTGCGCCAGACTGCAGGTGACTGCTGGCCCCTCGCGTGGAGCTGGGAGCAGGGCACGGTGTGGGTCCCCCGTTCCCATGCTGGTGGAGGCGATGGGCTTTCCTGGCTGGGAGTTGGCGTGCAGCACATTGTGCCTGTGTTCTGTGAGCCTTTCACAGGCTCAGTCCCGTTGTGACATGATTCCGTGCAGTGTTGGGTCTATTCTGAGAGATGTTCTGGTCCTGACTGTGGCCGTGTAGCCTGTGCAGCTGATTGTTAGGACTGGAGTGCTTGGCCACGTTGGGCCTGTCTGTGAGGCCCTAGGAGAATTCTGTGGATGCAAGGCAGGGAAGGCTTTGCTGCAGTCATTTTGCTGATGAGAGTGGCACATAGCTCTCGAATGCAGGCTGCTGCTCTGACACAGCACAGATCTGGGACCTGCCAGGCACACAGCCTGTCAGTTCTGGGGAGGGGAATGACTGTGTGCCGTGCTGGGATGTGGCAGGGGGCCTGTGCGCACTGCTGGTCCCCCCCACGCTGACTGTCTTCTCCCTACAGCTACGCTGTCATCGCCTATGGCTGTGCCGAGTGTCCTCGCCTCACCTGTGGGCGTGAGGGATGTGGCACCGAGTTCTGCTACCACTGCCGTCAGCCCTGGCACCCTGATGGGCCCTGTGCACCGGCACCGCTGACCTCCAGCCTGGCCAGCCCCTCGGCACAGCTTGTTCACCCAGAGGAGTCGGCCAACGGTGAGACCCTGGTCTGGGATGGGAGCAGGCAGTGCAGGGATATGGCACGCCTGAGCAGTGTAACTGGGTGCTCTGCTGCCTTCCTGCCCCTGGGGATCCTGGAGCTGTGACCCAGTGTTTCCCACCAGCTGCCTCTGCATGGAGGTGTAGCCTCTGTGCCAGCTGCTTGAGCTGGGGATGGGAAGGACCCAGCTATGCTGGCAGTGCCTGGCTCCCCCAGACACCCATGGGACGGGCTGCAGTCCTAGGACAGGGTGTGGGGGAGAGCGGCACTGTCCTGCTCCCGCCGCATTCCAGCCCATCTCCCTTCCCCCTGCCAGTTGAGGCTGAGGACATCAAAGTCTGTCCCCGCTGCAGTGCTTTCATCATGAAGATCAATGATGGGAGCTGCAACCGCATGAACTGCACGGTGTGTGGCTGCCTCTTCTGCTGGCTCTGCCTGCAGGAGATCTCTGACGTGCACTTCTTGAGGTCAGTGCAGGGCTGTGGTGCACTGGGAGCCGTGGGATGTGCTGGGGGACTGGTGTGAGGGTGCTGCCAGGAGCTGAGGGGTGGCCTGAGGAGATGGCAGTGGGCTGAGCTGGGGGGTCTGCTGCCAGGCTCACAGGGGTGCTATGATGCCAGGCTGGGGAGCTGCCAGGAGCTGTGGGGCTGGGCTGGAGAGAAGGGGGGGGCAGTGAGGTTCTGCAGAGAGCCACAGCCATGTGCTGCCAGGTGTGGGGCTGGTGGGTTGTAGCACTGATGGGGGGAGCAGCAGTGTCACAGAATTATAGGGGCTGGAAAGGACCTCAAGACGTCATCGGGTCCAATCCCCAATGCTGTCCATGTCCAATGTGTCCATGCTGCTGGGTCTGGCAGAGCTGTGGGCCTGGGGCTGGCTGTCAGCACCCCACATGCAGGTGTTCCTGGTGGCAGCGGGAGTAGGGTGTGGGAACGTGGCTTTCTGCTGCCCTGGAGGGTCACAGGTCTAGGGCCAGGCTGTGCTGGCATCTGTCTGCCTCTGTGTAGGAACCATTGGCCCAATCCCACTCTGTCCTCACAGCCCCTCTGGATGCACCTTCTGGGGGAAAAGGCCGTGGTCACGAACCCGGAAGATCCTGTGGCAGCTGGGCATGGTGCTGGGGGCACCGATGGTGATCTCCATCGTCGCTGGCATTGCTGTGCCTGTCATTACCATCGGGCTCCCCATCTACATGGGTAGGAAGGTACTGGCCCTGGGGTTCCCATGGTCCTGCTCTCTGCTGAGCCTGGCAGCCCATGGCCAGAGGCCTGGACAGATTCACAGTGCTCAGCACTGCCCACTGCGTGTCCCCATGCCACCATTTTTTCCCCACAGCCCCTCACTGTGGGGAACCTATCTGCTGTCCACCCCAACACCCCTTGCGAGGGAGGGTGTTCTCTACGTGGGGAGGTGGGGGCATGAACAGAGGTCTGTGTGGGCCAGGGTGTTGTCTGAGGACACCTGAGCTGTGCTGGCAGTGCTGTCATGGCTGTCCCTCTCTGGGGAGACGAGGGGTGGTCTGGGCAGTGGTGGCTGGAGCTCTGCTGGGGTGAGGAAGAGCAGGGACAGGGCCTGGGGACTGTGTGTCTCTGCAGAGCCCCTTCAGCTGCCTCGCTTCTCCTCAAGGTGCTGGGCCAGAGCCGGAGGAGCAGCTTGTCAGGGTGCCAGCAGTGCTTCTCTGTCACCAGCAGTGTCCTCCTCTCTCTGTTTGTGTCCCCCATCATCACAGCTGTCACAGTGGGTAAGTGTACCAGGACAGCGCTGGGGGCACTGCCCACGTGCTGGAGAGCGTGGGGCCAGTGCATAGGGCCATCGCAGTGGAGCATCTCGGGGGGTGTCTGATGCACAGGGCTCCTTGGGGGGAAGGACAGCTAGGGCTGCTGCTGAGGGCTAGGCAGTAGCTACGTGTCTGCCCGCAGGCATTGGCGTGCCCCTGATGCTCACCTACGTCTACGGGGTGGTGGTGCTGTCACTGTGTCGGAGCCGCAGCGGGTGTGGGGGTGGCCGTGGCCAGCCTGGGGACCTTGGTGTGGTGGAACTGGAGAACCTGACCAAGTGTGAGTCCTGCACTGCCAGCTGTCCCCCTGGCCTGTGCTCTCCATGGTGGTGTGTGTGTGTGGGAAGGGGGTGGTGGGGGTGGTGGTGTGGCACACAGGCCGTAGTCCTGTCTTGTGGCTCTGCAGCTGTGACAGCTCCAGGGCCAGGGCTCCCTGGGGACTTGTGTCTGTTTTGCCCTGAGTGGCTGGGAGGCTGCAGACTGGTTTTGTGGGGGACAGTGAGTGCTGTCCAAAGCATTTTGGGATCAGTTCATGTGCCTGTCTGCCAGGAGCCTGCTCCTGATGGTGCATGGTCCTTGTGGACACAGCGTTTAACCCCATCTCTCCTTCTGCTAGTGAATGAGCTGTGGTCAGTGCTGCCCAGCCCCAAGGGGGTCGAGGATGGCGTCCCAGACACAACCACCTCCTTTCCCAGCAGCAGACATAGCCCACACCACAGGGCCATATGGAAGGAGCAGGACAGCCAGTCAGCCAGCACAGTGGCCCTCGCAGGGAGCATGCTAAGTGAGGGCCAGGACGTGTCCTACAGGTGAGCAGTTGCTATGCTGAAGGGGACTGTGTGTGTGGGGGGGGAATACTGACAAGTCCTTTGCTAACAGCCTTCCCCGTTCTTACTGTACTGGACAGGGACTCTGCAACGCTCCCCCGCTGGGCTGCTGCCCTAATCTGTGTTTGTCTGCAGGGAAGGCATCAACATCGAGGTAGAGGTGGCGATTGAAACGGTGCCACATCCTGCCCGAGAGCAGAGCCTATGCAGTGCACTGTCAGGCCAGAGTCTCTCTGGAGACTCCCTGGGAGGAACTAGCGACAGGTACAGCTGTCACAGGCATCCCAGAGGAGTGAAGGTGACCGTGCAGCAGTGAGCTGGAAGATTCTTGAGACAGAGCACCCACCTCATTGACACAAAGATCCATACCCTGTGGCAGACTTCTATGCCCTCTGCATTGCATCACCAACCCCATGAACTGGGTGCTCTCCATCCCCAGGCTGGGCAGGCACTCACCGTGCACTCGGCCCTGCCTGCTCCATGTATCCACCCCATTGCACCTCTACCCTGAAGGCAGGCTAAAGCACCATCACTGCTGAAATAAAACTACTCTCCAAACATCATAGGCTCCTGTTCAGGTTCCTTTCTGGTCCCCAGCACAGTTGGGTTTTTTTCATGTCCTGCACCAACTTCCCAACACATCCTATAATAAATCCTGTGCACTCCCCATCTTCTCTTTCCCTGCATGTATCCCCTACAACGAGGCAACCCCTCCCCTGTGCTCTCAAGATGATCCCAAGAGCACTTTACAATTCATGGTGATGGATTTCATGCCTGGACCAGGCTGATTATTCTCCTGGGACAGCCCTGGGAAGGGCCTGGGTAAGGGCTGTGGTTTCCCCCATCTGCTATTGTACTTCTATGTCCTGGATTTTTGGAGATGGGCCTCTGATGGGCTGGTATTTCTCTTCTGATGGACCTGGGGTAGGTGGGTTAGGTTATTAATCAAGTTACTCCTGCCATCGTTTCTGTGTGCCTTTGTCCACGCAGATGAGCTTCTTACCTAACCTAGTATCCTAGGCTTCCCGGTCTCTTCAGTAATTGAGCCAGACCTTTCCAGGATCTGGCCCAGCCCACATCAAAACCTGGCTCTCAAAACCCTTAGTCTGCCCACCAGCAAACGCAGCTTGATGTTCATGAGCCATCACACATTGCCACACGCATCCCTGCTCAGTATTCATGTGCTCTGACCTCTCCCTTTTTGCTGGCACTCAGACCCACCCACAAGAAAGAGACCACTCAGTAAAATAGCTAGAAAAGATCACTTTGTGTTGTGTGTAAACAACTATCCCCTTTTATGCCCTTTTCCCACACTTGTTACACCCGAACCCTCTTCCTTCTCCCAAACATGCTGTAGCAGTCCTGCCTGCCCCACATGCCCCCATCCCCAGCATCCCATGCCCTGTAGGCGGCAACCCTCCTGTTGATGCTGGGGAGAGCTGCCTCTCAACCCCTGTGGACCTTGACTCTGCTGAGGTGACCAGGACCCCTCAGCACTGCTTCTTGTCTTGTTTGCATTCATGGAGATGAGCTATTACCACATAACATAATGGTCAGTCTTAGCAAAACTCCTGATTTTACCCTTTTAACGGAGTCACCAGGTTAATAAAAATAACTGTATATACAAAGGCCTTTGATATGGCACGACATACCACAAAGCATTTTGATTAAAAGTTTGCAAGACGAAACATCAACAGAGCACACAGCAAATGGTCTAAAACCAGTTACATCTCAGTTCAAATTACTAATGTGAGATCATTGCTAATCAGAATCATTTTAGAACCAGTCTCTGTGGGGTCCCCTATGTCTTATATTAAAAACTCTCTTTAATGACCTGGGAGAACATTGAAAACCAAGCCCTCCAGAGACCGATTCCTCTCAGCAAGAACAAGACAGTCTGCCACCAACCAGGTCCAGTCAAAGTGGTATTTACTCCACTGAGCAAACCTGCGCCTCTGGGCTCAGCCTCCCAGCAGGTATTTACCCTTCTGCATGAGGCTCTACAGCATCACTACTGTCACCATCCTAAAAAGAATGTGTGGAAACTAGAGGGACATCAGAAACAACAAATGCTGTTGGGACTGTAGAAATTGTTTCTGTTACTATTCAACCTGTGACAATTCAAAATTTGGAGGTAGTGTGGCAAGCTGCACATTCATAGCACAGAGGAAGCACCAAGTACTGGTTGCCCCTTAACCACAGAAATCCTATCTAGCAGCAAATGAAAGATGCCCTGAAAAGAAGCCACCATTGCAAAGGAAGAATATCCTCTCCTTTGGTGCTTTGCTTGCACAGCAACATTCTTGGGGACCATACCACTTCATCCAGAAAGTTTATTTCTGAGCGCACAGTGAGGTTACGCAGCAAGTCTAACTGCAGAGCCTGTGCACTTGTGGCACTGAATTCACAATCCTGAAAAGGGCTGCAGGAGCCCAGCTTTGATGATATAGGGTCCAAAACTGTTCAGCTCTGGGCACATCATGACTGGAGAGATACTTAACAGAGGGTCTTAAGCTCAGGACCACCTGGGAAGGGGCTTATGTTGTCACAAAAGATGGTGTAAGATATACCTGTACGGGCTGGTGAAGCATGGGCTGACTGAATTGTAGAACACAAGTCTGAGACAACAGGCCAGGACCAGGAGGGTAAAGTTCACCTTCAAGAGGGAAGGCTTACAGTGAAAGGCATTGCAAAGGGCACATCCCTATGACACTGGAACCCTGGTGCATCTGGATGATGTTATGGCAGGTGACCTAGCCTGTAAACTCCATCTGTGCTCCCACCATATCAGGTGGAAGGTGAAGGGTACAGCAGCAGGGAACAACAGCTGACCTTTCCATCAGTGGTTTACAGCCAAAGGACTTCACCTCTGCAGGAGCAGTTGTGGTATTGACACAAGCCATACAAGCTTTGTATCACCCAGCACACCAGCAGGCAGGAGTTGCCTTGTCATACCTTGAAGAGAACATGTAGCTAGATGGGGTGCATTACTCTGCATGTAGGTTAGTTAGTTCAGGAAGGTGACTGGTAGGCACTATTCAGCAGACAGAAACCATCTCCAGAAACTTGTCTCCTGTCCTGTGCGCAACAGACTGTCCTCAGTTGAGCCATCTCAGGCTAAGTGGATAGGCAGCAGGTGCTTGGGCTCTGCAACCGCACAGTAGAAGCCAGCTTCTTCTTGTGAGCTGCAAACACGACCCCCGCAGTGCCCTGCGACACGAGGGAATAGAAACGTCCTCCTCCTCACCACATCTTCCTTACCCCCTCCCCACATCCAGGAAAGAACCAAGGACCAGAAGTACAACTATGTTTTCTGGGCTTTTAGTTTGAAAAAAGTATTGATTGAAAGTGTACAACAGAATGAGGTGTGGCAGCAGCACCACAGCCAGATTGTTTCACAAATAAAAACAGAAAGGGCCTTAAATAATCGGGTGCAGATTAAAAAACCTCAACAGTGAAAAAGTTCTTCCCTCTGAACAGAAAGTCACAGGCACAGAAATGGCAACAACCACATGGAGACGATGGGGGGAGGGAACATCCTTCTTCTAACCACAGGGCTCTGTGCTAAGCGGCTGCCACCTATGGCGGGCTCCTGCGCCGTGGTTGGTGGCTGCTCCTGTGTGCAGTTCTGCCCTTGGCTCATTCTTTGGAATGGTTACAGATGAACAGTGTGACATGCCCTTGCTAACCAGACCCGCCCCCCACCCCCCAACCGGGACACTGACAAACAAGGCCTCTGCTAAGGCTAAAAAAAGGACAAGACTTTGGAGTCTTGAGTTCAGCATGTTTAAGAAACAAGAGTCTGGTGAGCGCACAACAAAGTCCTTGTGCGAGGCTTGCTATTCCAGCTTGGCCTTCTTCTTGTTATCACTGCCATTCTCCTCTGCTGGTGTTGCTGGTGCTGCCATGTCCTCCAGTTTCCGTTTCCCACTTTCGGCCGGTGGGTGCGTGTTACGGGGTTTAAAACTGATAATGATGCAGGTCATGTTATCGCAGCCAGTGCCATCCCCTGAGGTGTCTGGAGCCAAACACTGATCCAGCAGCTGAGGAGGGACAGGACAGGTTAGCAGAGTGCACAGACACACCTATGCCATTGGATCCATTCTATCAACTGACAACAGCTTAGTTAGGGGCTGCCAGGCCAGAATGGCAAGGGCTGGGCTCAAACGATGTTTACATCATTTACAGAGAAGCAGCCTCAGCAACTCTGTTTTCTCAAAGCAGACAAACTCCTTCAGCTTGACAATAACCCAGAGGTCAGAGACACTAGCCAGGGTGACGAAGGAACCAAATTCTAACTCAGAGGTGGTTCTCTGATCCTGTACCTGCCAGTATTGCGGCCCAAGTGCTGCCAGATACCCCAAGCACTGAACAAACCAGTCTGATGGAGCAGGAATGAAGTCAGGCACCAAGCTGGGATGCAGAAACACTGCGTGCTGAAAGGGATGGTGAAGCATCTGAAGGGGTGTTATGGACCTTACCTCTTCCACAATGGAGGAGAGCGGCCTCAGGACTCCATTCTCATCCTTTTGGGTGATCTTGGACTGGATGAAATCCACCACTTCCTGGCTGCTCATCACATTCCTGTAGAACGGAAAAGTCAGAAGTGCTAGAAAAGGGAGCAGTCATACCACACTGTCCTGAGAGAGCTTCACTGTAGCAAGGAGCTGATGGTAACAAGACTGCATATTGAGGAACAGGAGGTTTCAAAGCTCAGCACACTGCGATGTTCCTCCATCTGAGAACAGCTCCTCAGAGAAAGAACTAACTCTTTGAGAAAATAAGGGCTGAAGCCATGCCCCTTGGAACTTCCTGAGACCCAGCTCAAGAGAACAAGCAGGGTAGTGATGGCCTAAGAGGCACAACCGCTCCCTCATTACATACCAGATTCCATCACAGGCAATGACCATGAAGTCATGGTCATCGTTTATTGTCAGCACTTTGATGTCGGGCAAGGCAGAGATCATCTGTTCTTCTGGAGGCAGATTCCTGTTCCGCTTGTAGAAGTGATCACCTGTAGTGAAGAGGAGGATCACTTTGTGCTGTTACTGGGCTTAGGCAATGCTGCCTACTCCAAACAGTGAGAAACAGTTCTCTGCTGAAAAGCAGCCCTAATAGAATTCGCACCAGAGCTCGCACAGTGCGGACCTGGCTGTGATTGAGACCTGATTGAGAGAAATCTGCTGCACATCCAAGCCATCAGTTTAGGTGAGCCCACCACACTGTTCCCATACAAAGGCAAACAGGATCCTTCCTCGGTTCAGCATCTCCTCACCCCAAACCAGTTGACACTTGCCCACTTACTGGGGCAAGATCAGACCAACAGCACGTGATGTCTAACAAAACCAGCTGAAAACTGGCAGCAGCACTCAGATGAGCTAACCCATGACCTAGAGCAGGATTTGCAGCTCACCTGAATGCTTGGCTCTGCTACAATAATGATAGATGCTCATTTTTAAGAAGCTTGGGCTGTCCAGGGCCAGATATGTCAGGGTACAAACAGTGCTTAGGTGCTGCCTGAAGCATTGTAGCAAGGGGAATAGAACTTGTGCAATTAAAAGAC